TATCGTGGAGTACGAAACACCAGGCGAGCTGTTGTATTTAGAGATATCTGTAGCTTACATTTCCTTTTTAGTTGTTTCAAATCAAATTTGTATCTCTACCGAGATCCAGTGATTCCCACGTGATTGTTTTTTTTTCCAGGGGTATTTTTGCTTTTTACTCTGTATGTACAGGACTATAGTTATAAAGATTAATAACCAAAACTTTCGTTGTTTAAAACAATTTTTATCTTTTCAAAATGTATCTACAGTGCACTCTTGGTAGAAGGAACTTCGTCCGAAAGCTCTGGTTCTATTTCTGGTTGAAATTTGTATCTCCACCGAGATCCAGCCATTGTTTCCACCGCGTTTTTTGGGGTTTTTTTTAGTATTTTGCCTTTCCAGGTTCGAATCCCGTTGGAGGCATTTTATTACCTAATGTATTTATAGGACAACATTCGTTGCAAGCTACCGGTATGCTACACGATGTACTATTATGTCCTTTATTCGAACACTGTATTTACTTTTCTTGCCTCAGCCCCGCCATGGTTGGGGCTGAGGTGCGAAAATTTGAGGAAATAGTACATCTAGATGGCTGGAAATGACACTCTTATAGTAAAAGTTTATCAGCGATTTCGGTAATCAGAGATCTAATTAATCTCTGTAGAATAGAATATAAAATTGTATTTACTTTACTTTACCTAGTTCGTGTGCCGAAATCTTATACTTTTTCTCATACTTCTCAAAGCACGCGCACTCGAGTCGTGTATTATAGATAATTCAGATGTTAGTGATACCGGTTTTTTACTATAAGATGTAGAGTACTGTACTTAGGTTGCACAGCGCTTTTTCGTTAAAACCTGGGTCATTTATGCAACAACTTTCAGGCATCATCTTTTCATCATAAAATTACATTGCGGTCGAAACGTGGGGACCAACCCCCTTAAATGATCCCTATGAGAGTGTACCTGATGGTTATTTGAATCTGTTTGACCATGAAGCCTCTGTGATCTAATGGTTATGACATCGAGAGGTCGCAGGTTCGAATCCCGTCAGAGGCATTTAATTTATTTAGAGGACAACATTCGTTGAGAGCTATGCTACACGATCCATATGCCCCTTTTTCGAACACTGTATTTACCTTCCTTTGATAATATATGTATATATATATATATATATATATATATATATACATATAT